AACCTCGTACATAGAGCAAATCGGGCGGACATCGAAGTTTTAGTACTATATATGAATGCCAGAGTAGGTTGGCTATCCGCGAACAAGGTGCAGTTGGGATATCCTTTTGGTCTAGATTCCTGAAGTTCGGAAAACGGGGAACGGCTGATGGCTCTGTGTTGTCGTCATCGGCTACACGTTACCAACACGAACTTCAAACGCTACAATTGTCGGTACGCCACGAGGTGTCCGCCCTCTTCGAAACCAGGTCCACCACCTCCCTATTAACCACAAAGAACGGTATCGCATATAAGAATGCTTATCGAACAGGAACCCTCCCTCAGAATGCAAAAACAAGTTAGTTTGCGCTGAGTTCTGAACGTGTTTCGGTTGTGCTTCAAAAGCATGACACAGTGGCAGATAGAACACAAAAAGCCATCCGAACCAACTTGCTTTGTCACCTTTCAAAACGTAATGGCTAAAACGTAAGAACCAATCGCACCTACTACCATCAATCAGCACTGGTCATTCGACTAGAAGGATCTGCATTCTGCTGATTTACTGGGTTATTATTTGAAAATGTGCTTTGCCCTGTTTAGGAATGGTTAGCAATGCATAATTTTAGTGTCTCTGTCAGAACGCGAACCGCGAACATTCTGGTCGGCTCCCTGAAAACTGCTTTGGTCTGAAATAACCAATCAGAACAAGGATAGGCGTACTAACATTATTGATCCGAACCGCCAACCGATCCAGACAATTGACAATAATCCAGTCAACCAATCGCTGGATATACGTATTTTCATATCCTCTCTCTACCCTATAAAATAACCATGATTCTTGCATAATAAACGCATTCATACATGCTTCCAGCTGTGTCCTATGTTACTACCTGTGAAGTTCCTAGCTGGACGAAAAACGTAACCGAAATACGAGCATTTTGAGAAACCAGTATCAAAAAAATCCTGGGCGGTTGCAACACACTCAACCGCAACGCCAAATTTTATCAGCACTTGGAAATACTGCATGAAAGATAAGTGAAATAACACGGTTCCCGAAACAGTTTCCTAATAAATTCAAACATATGAACGATTCAGTTTTTGTGACTACATGGTCCAATAGATTCAAACGAGTTACGCCGTAACCGATATTCAACAAACCCGGCACTTTTGCAGTCCATTACGTTCCGTAACCAGTATTTAGATACCTCTGACGACAGTGCAATAGTTCTAAGATTCCTGCGCTGGAAATTTCTAAGAAAGTAAGTGAACTTAACACCAGCAAACCACACAGCAGTATGCACTCTTCTGTTGGCAAAATAATACTGGTGGGACTAGGCTATTGAATGTAAGAAATAAACTCGGTGAAATACCGAACAAAAGACAAAAAATCCTGTGCTATAAATAACCAGACAGCATTTTTCGAATAATTACTTCGAAAATTAGGGGTCTTACGGTGTTGGGGAATTAAAAAATCAGTGTTACGAGTGACTTACATCAGGATTTTCGTCCTTCAACTGAACGAGGAATAGCGGAAGCAGATGTTCTAACGTGTTTTCTTTCCCAAGTAATGGAGCCAGAGCCATCATCACGCCAGCCAATGCAGTTTTTACTTGTAAGTTCGTTTCACTAACCATTTCGCGGATAATTGGAAGCAGATTCTTCATAATTACGGTTTCCCGGGTTTCCGGAGCCAAAGCGGCCGCAAAAGTTTTCAGCTTTCCAGCAGCTGCAGCACGTACCTCGCCCTCGGGATCTTTGAGAAGAGACTATTGTTAATAGGAGAGAAAAAAGTGGAACCCATCAAAGAATAATTATAATTCCCCAGTCATCAGTAATTTTGTGTTCGGTTCCTTGGTATAGCGGTATCAAAATTGTGCTGAATTTTTCACCAAGTTTCAAGGGTCTGTAATTAGGGGTATTCTAGCAAAAGCCTGTCAGGAAATGTGTACAAAGTAAAGAAAAATGCATATTATGAGTATGAATTTCATAAAGATGGAAGAGAAGCTATAAATGGGCGTTAACATTTTCAAAACTGATAGATTACTCAGAGCCATCATAAACCAGGTTCATGGCGAATCAACAAACCGAAAGGTTACCGGGGCATCTGGAACAACGTTGCTGCCTTGTAGCTCGTGCTTGATTGCGCAAAGGCTAGAGTGCACCATTGAGCAAGGCCCATACTGGGTTGGACGACCTAATAGTATAACAGCCCACAACGCAAACAAAATCAAAATTGAATTTGCTCCAACAGTTATCCTTCCTTATAGAAAAACGTTCCACACTATGCACATCTTCCTATTTCCCAATTTTTCCTCCACCTCATATTCACCCCCACCCCATTTCAAACATTTTCAGTGGCATCAAGATCTTCAGACGATCGTACTAACAGTCGTGCCTCAGATGGAAATTTAGCCCCTATTCTCTTGCGTCCTGCCTCGAATAGCGTCCAAGTCTCGCCGAATCATTCCCCATCAGTTGAAGTCCTTCTCAGTCTTCGATGCCCGTTTCAACTAGCTATTTTTAACGTGTATACTCTGATTCACATAGGACAATGAGAATGTTTAGCTCATACTCTCGAGACCCTAGCCATGGATCTTTTGTGTCCAAGAAACTCGCCTTCAAGACTCTGGCTCCATCATCCGATTGACGTCCCCACCAAACCCATCATAGAAGTTTCACTTACGCCTCTCTGGGGCCCTTAAGGCCCCGGTCTTGCTGGCGTTGGCGTGGCTCTCAGTGCCGAGGCAGGTAGTGGTTGGAATAAAGCCAAGGGTTGCCAAGCTAAGGCCTGGCATGAGGGTATGAAAACCCTAACCAGGATTCTGGGTCACATAAGTCCTGTTAGGTTCCCTGGGATGGTCGTGACCGATGTTTAGAGACACTGAGTGATATGGGTAGGTGTCGTAAACAGTGGTGTTTATGCATTTTCTCAATTTCTCTGTGTCATTCTTCCACTGAACTTTTCAATTTTCTCTTCGATTCTACTTCCAACTATCCTGTTTTCCTCCTATTTTTACCCAAATGGGCAGCCGAAAGATAGCGACCAAAAGGGACGCACGGAAATGCATGCTTAATGGTTGTTTAAACTGAACTGAACTGAACTTAGTGAGAGAGATGAACCCGCGCTCCTAGTGTATCCCAGTCAACAGTAGGCNCAGTCAACAGTAGGCTATGCGAGGTAAACAGTAGTCAATTCGATAGAAGTAACTTGTTTCACGCCTCAGCGTACGCGCCCACTAAATGTATCCCAGATATAGTCAAAGGTACATTCAACCAAAACTTACACATATTGCGTAAGGCGAATCGGGCTGATGTCGCGATTTTAGCAGGAGATATGAATTCTAGAGTACACCGGCTGACTTCGAGTGAGGTGTGTCTGGGAGGTCCTTTCGGACTAGATTCCTGTCGCTCGGAAAACGGATGTGGCTCTATGTTCTGACAATCGCCTATTCCTCGCCAGTACGAACTTCAGACGATCCATCTGCCGATACGCCACTTGGTCTCCACCCTCCTTGAGTTAGCGATAAAACGCAGCAGCTGCAAATGGCGGGGTACATACAAGACTTCCGATCGTACTGGAGCACTCCCCTCGAATCCGACCACGCGTTAGCTCGCGCTATGCTGTCCATGTGCTTCGGTGGGCGTTTCATACAAACGACACAACGACGGTTAGACGGTGATAAGTTGTCTGAACCAGCACGCTTAACTGTCTTTCAGAACGCACTAGCTGCAAAGCTAGAACCAACCCCATGCAATGACGTTAACCAGCACTGGTCGCTTATCAAGAATGCTCTGCATTCTTCTGCCTTAGTTAGTTGTGGTCCGACACGTCGTGCCGAGACACGCTGAATTTCTGCGGAGTCTCTACGCTTTCTTGACGCACGCCATCCATCCATCTCGACCGGCAGCGAGCATAATAAAATACGACACGCAACAAGTCGTAACCTCAACGCAAGCTTACGCGGAGACCGTGAGCTCTGGTGGACCCAACGCGCGTCAGAGATGGAACGTGCCGCCGCCATGGGTAATTCCCGTAAGCTATTCCATCTCATCCGGGTCACCGGTAGAAAAGCCTTGGGTAAGAGGGAAACGATCTGAGAGGCTGATACCTCGTCCATTCATAATCAAGAGCGATGTCTTGCACGCTGAGCAGAGCACTTCAAGGCACAGTTTAGCTCGCCACCAAAGTCGGTTTTTCACACAGCTATTTCAGCACAGGTCCCATGGTCTGTCTCAACAGACTCACCTTCTGAGGCGGAAATCCCTAAGGAAATTCAAGCCTTGGGAAGTCACAAAGCGCCGATGACCTTTCCACGCATTTACTTATAGATGGTGGAATGAATTTTGTTTGGTGGCTCGGTTCTCTACAATATGTAACAATGAGCAGATCCTTTTCTCGTAGGAGGGGAATCGATTGTCCTTTCATCTTTAAAAAGGGTCCGCGCAGTGACTGTGCCAATCATAGGGGTAAAAGCCTTAACCCAATAGCGTCAAAGCTGTTAGTGTCTATCATTCTTTGTAGTAGTACAAGACGCGTGAGAACATCCCAGCGAGGAGCAGGCTGGGTTTCGCGCTGGCCGTGGATGCATAGATCAAATCTTCACCCTCCGACAGCACCGGCATGCTTACTACACACCAACGACCATTGTATTTCTAGACATTCGAGTGGCCTTCGACTCTGTCGATAGGACCGCACTATGGAACTGTTTGTTGAGGAATGGAGTACCTGAGAAGTATGTGTCGATCCTCAAAGGGTTGTATCTTCATACCTCGGGTCGGGTTAGGGCCTATGGCCAGCTTTCACCACCCGTCGCCGTCTCCAGTGGAGTTTGACAAGGCTGCCTATATCCCCACTCCTTTTCAACTTTGTCATACAGGTTGTTCTACAGACACCGGCTCCCAATGGATTGCGGTTTTCGCACACCGCCCCGCTGCCTTGCGGTTCAGTCTTTGGTTAGAAAATTCACCTGCCTTGGCCTGGGCAAACTGGCAGTATTCGGCCCACTTGCAAATCGTGGAGCGTTTTTCTTTTTATAAAGACTATTGTACCACGATTTGTTTGGCACACNGCATCAGACGTGTGAAATACAAAAAATACTGTTCTACAGAATGCTTTGTTCGGTCTAGCAAACGGTGGAGTCGAACTCCTCCCAGAGAACAAGGTATTTGACTTAGAATACGCCAATAACATCGCCTTTTTGGGTGACAATACACCGGCAGTCCAACAGGCTTAAAACCACATGGCGATAGGGGTACCGTCCCTCACTGTGTTTATTTGCTGCAGAGGTAGATGTGGATAGAAAAAGGAAGCCAGGAGGTGCCCAAGCATCTGGCTTTGTGAGACTCAGCTTCGTCTGGCCTCTACCCGTTGACCTTCCAGGCACGATTGGAACTGCGGCTGTGAAGAGCCATCCTATTTAGCTCGCAGGGTCATTGAGGCGCTCAAGCCATCATCCTATACCAAGGTGCAGTCTTGTAGTGATGGAAGAGAGATATGACTCAGAATAGATGTCAGTGGCGCAATTGCTGTGCGGTTTGTTTGTCGAAACCTCGTTCTCCGTAACAAACAAAAAGTGTACGGTGAAACCATCAAACAAAAACATTCATTCATTCATTTGTTCTCCCTGTTCTCTAATTTCCCGTTTCATTTAACCTTTCTGTGCTCCTTCATAAATCATTATCATTGTTTTGCGTTGGCACCAAGCCAAATTTCTTTCTGTTCATATGTTGTGGCACATTTGCTAGTTCTCTGTAATTGGTTACGTGTTGAATATATAAATATATATATATATATATATATATATATATATATATATAATATATCCTAGTAATGGAAACCATTTGATGATTAAAGTTCTTATAAATCTTTGTAACGCTATCACCTGGCCTCCTTCACCGGAGACCATTTAACTCCTAACTATTGATCCTATCCATTCCTATCCCGATGGTGCCACTCCTCTCCATTTTACAACTTTTCCCATGTTCCCTTTATCACAAACGCCTGCGATAGTCCCATCATACTTTTAAACTTTCATCACGCGTCTTGGGAAATACCTCACCTGTTGTATCGCTCTCGCTCTCCCTCAACTTTTCACTCTTTACGGGACTCCAATAGGTCCCGTGACAGAACATTGCAACCATGCCTAATCCTCTTTGGGACATTAGAACGTGTTCAGCTACGAACCCTTTGCCCAGTCGCCGATCCGCCCCTAACATCAGNTTCAATCACTCGAGCATCACCGCATGATTGCCCCTATGCCCGTTTTCCACCGTCATTACCGTGAATTTCGCCCTATGGAGCTTGTGGATTTGGTCCCTCCACTTGCACTAGATCGCGAGATCCAGTCACAAGCGTTATTCACCATTACTCGATGGTTCCGTTTACATTCCTCTTTCCAAAAACCGCGAAATCCTACAGCATTTCGTTGTTCCGATTCTCCCTTTCTTATAGCTTTTTATGGTGAAGCGTACAATCAACAAGTTGTTTTAAATCCATGATTCGTCACTCTTTCTGTACAGGAGATTTATCTATTAACTGTAGATCATAATTGTCATGTGATAAAAATGTCTTCATGCAACTCTTCTTGACGAGTATGTTTTATTTTGATCTTGCATTGGCGTATAAAAAATAACAAAACGAAAACATTAACTTACTTGATACACATCGACCAAATGTTGTGAGGTTATTTGTGGTTTTACAGCGGCTTGTAAATCAGTGATATGATCCGCCAATTGGTAACGTACGCGCCATGATTTATCCTCTGCCGCACCACGAATTACGGGGATTACATGCGTAAGGACATCTTCGGTGGGCAGGACCTCCGCAAAATCCACACACGCATTCACGCCTAACAAACGGACCGAATCCTGATCATCTTGCTGGAAGGTAAGAATTTGGTTCAAACGAAGCAGAGTCACTATCAAACCAAGAAAGAATAGGTTTGTATTATATAGGGTCTTCAGATTGGGCCATTTTATTCATTTACGAGAAACTGCCAAACACGCAGTCAATCGAATGAAGCCCTGCGCCAGCTAATGTAAGCCAAAAAAGGGTGACTGGTATCTACTCTTATGACCTGACTGCAACCTCCAAGGTCAATCGCATTGATCGCCGCAAGTCCGACACAGTCAATATCAATATCCTGCTCGTTTACCCACAAACAGAGGGCAATAAGTGAACTTTGACTTGACCTTGGATTATGAAACGCTTCCATGTTTGTAAAAATGTTCTTCCCGTTGATTATGTACTTTGTGACGATTGGTGTGTATGATTTTTTAATTGAAATGTGAGCTCCAGTACTTGCAAAACTTGTACACAATACAACACAATACAATCAACGATTGCCCAACACGGTTACAATAGGATACCGCCTCTTGATGTAACCTTCACTTCCGAAGACACCTGGCGAGCACTGGGTTCGCCAGCGATCCAATCCTCTTCGTTGTCTGTTATCAGCGACTCCGGCGGTCCCGTGAAGTTAACCCGGAAACTGCACTGCCGTGTGTCGTGTCCAAAAGCTACGATAAACACCATTTGCTACGTAATCCGATCGGGCCTCGACTGGTTCGATGAGCTTGAACTAGACGAGCTATCAATCAACGACTCTTGCGCGCCTTGCAAGCGGCAGAGGTTCGTGATAAGCTTATCCACCGTCATCCTCTGAACAACTCTCCAAAGTTCATTCGCACTTGATGCCGTCCTTTTCGTGGGAAGCAGACCAACGGCGCCAGGGCGCATAATCACCAGGAAGTCCGACCTGATTAGAGGAAAGGTCCGAACACCACCTACTGCGTCTCCAAGGTTGATGACGACATCTTGATCCGCCATTGCAAACTGATCCGATCGAGACAGGAACCTGTAGACCGACTCATCGGCGAGGCCAGACACTCCCAAAAACGGGAAGTGATAGGGGAAAGTACATTTATCCATTTTTCATTTTCCTATGTTTATAAAGTTTAGATTTTCAAAGTTCCGCGGCGGGAAAATCTCAGTCCACACACCATTGGTCATGGTTGATCCTGAGTGGCAGCTTTGTTGTCGTCCGGTTCAATACCAACCTATGGGGGCCTTGTGTGGTTCACC